GAGGAGGGGATTTCTGCATGGTTCACTCTAAGAGTTCACTTTGTTTGTTTGTTTTGAGTGGGAGTCTCACTCTGTCGCCCATACTGGAGTATGGGCTAAGAGTTCACTTCTAATGCCGTTTGGTCCTCTGGCTCTAAGCTCAACTGCCTTCCTGACATGCACTAGGTGTCTGAGAGGGGCATAATAGTTGGCAGTTATTGGACCTGTTTTGGCTTTTTTGTTTGTTTCTTGTTCTTTGTTTTTAAGGTTGTAGTCTCACTCTGTTGCCTAGGCTAGAGTGAAGGGGCATACTCACAGCTATTGCAGCCTTGACCTGCTGGTCTCAAGCAATCCTTCTGCCACAGCCTTCCAAATAACTGGGACTATAGGCATGTGCCACCACACCTGGCTAGTTTTTTTTATTTATTGTAGAGACAAGATCTCCCCAAGTTGCCCAAGCTGGTCTTGAACCCTTTGGGTTTAGGCAATTCTTTCGCCTCTGCCTCCCAGAGGGAATGATTTTGGAAAAACTGTTTGATTCCTTGATTAGCCAATGGAATCAAGGGAAAAACTGGCACCAGGGATTTTCTTCACATCACTGTAAATTAAATCAACTTATTTTTCCAGACTGTAATTTAATGCATTTCTATATTTCTGGACCTAATACAAAGCTTTGCACCCATGTTTGTTGAATTAGTGAATAAGAAACTCGGGCTTTGGTATGATTTAAAGAGATTGTTTGCCATTTCTCAGTTTTCAGTCTAAGCACATTGTTTTTTTGTTTGTTTGTTTTTTGAGTTGGAGTCTCACTCTGTCGCCCAGACTGGAATGCAGTGACACGCTCACGGCCACCGCAGCCTTGACCTGCTGGGCTCAGGTGATCCTTCTGCCTCAGCTTTCCAAGTAGCTGGAACTACAGATGTATGCCACCACTTCCGGCTAAATTTTTTATTTATTGTAGAGATGAGATCTTGCCTAGTTGCCCGGGCTTTTCTCGAACCTGTGGGCTCAGGCAATCCTCTCAACTCGGCCTCCCAAAGTGCTGGGATTATAGACGTGAGCCACCATGCCCGGCCTAGGCCTAAGCACATTCTTTGAAGACATAGGGTAACTAAGTTTTAAGTTTTAACCTTGGAATTTTAATATTTGATAGTATAAAGTTCTCTTTAGATTCCTTAAGATTAGGTGGTAAGTAACCTGTTTATATAAACACTTACTAAAAGTTTTTGTTGATCTCATTAATACAAGTAACCATGAAGTCTGGGGTAGACTTTACAAAGGAGGGAGGGTTGCTCTTGTTGTTACAGAATATGAAAACTGGTTTATTGGGCATCAGCTGTAGATCTTGGTTAGAACTCCACGTAGTCAGCCGGGCTCGGTGGCTCAGCCTGTAATCCTGTGCCTTTGGGAGACTGAGGTGAGTGGATTGCCTGAGCCTGCAGGTTCGAGACCCGCCTGGGCAGCGAGACCTCATCTCTACAATAAATCAAAAAATCAGCTGGGCGTGATAGCGCATGCCTGTAATTCCGGCTACTTGGAAGGCTGAGGCGGAAGGATCGCCAGAGCCCAGCAGGTCGAGTCTGCGGTGGCCGGGAGCAGCCACTGCACTCCAGTCTGGGCAACAGAGTGAGACTCCAACTCAAAAATAAATAAATAAATAAAATAAATAAAAAGTAATTGAAAAATTTAAAAAACAAACAAAAAAATAAAACCAAAAGACCTCCACGTAGTCAAAACAAGTTGTGGGCCTAACTTTATGCAAAGGTTTTACAACACTTTTCTTTCCTGTCTGTTTATATAAAACCCTTTGCCAGAGTTCTTGTTAGGGGGAAAAGAATATTCGTGAATTTTTCTTCCATATAGAAATGTTATAAAACAGAAAAATAGAAAGTTATTTTAACATTCATGCATTCACTTTTTATTATAGTATTATTTTTTCTTTTAAGAGATGGGGTTTCATTCTATCACCCAGGCTGGAGTGCAGTGCAGTGGTATGGATCATGACTCACTGCAGCCTCGACCTCTTGGGCTCAGGTAATCTTTCACCTTAGGCTCCAGAATAGCTGGGACTACAGGCATGTGCCACCATGTCTGGCTAATTTTTAAAATTTTATATAGAGATGAGATCTTACTATGTTTCCCATGCTGGTCTCAAACTCTTGACCTCCCAAAGTGCTGGAATTACAGGCGTGAGCCATTGTGCCTAGCCGTTTTATTATAGTTTGACAGCGGCAAAATCAGGTTTATTTACATGGTTATCTTTATACTTATTCTACATTATTGAGTCTTGCTACATAATATAAAAAATACTATATTACTTTATCCTCCTGTTCAATAATGTACCTTGTTTGGGTTTTTTTTCCTTAAATAAGAGGGACTGGCAGATCACGATTCCCAGGCATCCTGCAAAGTAGGTGGGTCACCTTAGGGGCCACCTTTACTGGTTCAAAAATTCATCTCACATTAGTAATAAGCATCTGGACGTCACCCCAAGTCATTATTTTCCTTACTCATAAGTTTAAGGCATAGTAATGTATCTTAGTCTAAGCTAGCAATATATTTTTATTTGTTGGTGACCAAATTTGTATATCATATATAAATTATTTTGCCTTCAATATGAATGACTTTTGACATTCCTCAGCCTTTTGGGTAAGGGAGGTAGTCCCTGGCATGGGGGATTGCTCAAGAGGATTTGTTCAGAGAATGTAGGAAAGTGAGACCCAAGAACCTATGCTTGGTATAAGTGATGGTATCTGTCCAAACCTTTGGGAATTGTAGTTGAGCCTTACAGACATTCTGTACCTCTTGTCTGCATGGCTTGGCTGTTGGACCATTGATGGTGCCTTCCTTTGGAGGCAGGAAGCTAGTATAATGTCTCCTATCTTCATAAAATGGGTTATATTGTTGTGAGACAAAAGAATTTTATTTCAGAAGAAAAATGAAGAACGTAGAACCTTATAACTGGAGAAGCCATACAGATTCTCAAGTCTTAACTTCTCATTTTTACAGTAGTGTAGGAGAGGACACCACTTGTTTGTTGTCTTTTTTTTTTTTCCTTCCAAGTGTTGGTCCTCAATTATGTTTGGACATTTGAATCACCAAGGGAACTTTTAATAGTACTGATGACAAGACCAATTAAATCAGTCTCTGAGGATAAGGCCCAGGTATGGGTATTTTTACTTTTTTGAGTCAGGGTCTTGCTCTGTTGCCCAGGTTGGAATGCAGTGGCACTATCACAGCTCATTGCAGTATTGACCTCCTGGGCTCAGGCAATCATTCAGCCTCAGCCTCCTGAGTAGCTGGGACTACAGGTACATGCCACGACATCTCACTAATTTTTAATTTGAGGGGGAGACGAGGTCTCACTATGCTGTCCAGGCTGGTCTTGAACTTCTGGGCTCAAGCAGTCCTCCTGCCTTCTCCCAAAGTGCTGGGATTACAGGCATGAGAATCAAGGCTTGCCAAAGTAGATATTTTTAAAAAGCAGTTCAGATAATTTGGGGGGAGGTGGTCAGAGTCTCACTCTGTTTCCCAGACTGGAGTGCAGTGGCATACTCGTGGCCACTGCAGCCTTGATCTGCTGGGCTCAGGTGATCCTTCCACCTCAGCCTTCCAAGTAGTGGAATTACAGGTACGCACCACCACCCCCAGCTTATTTATTTATTTTATTTATTTATATAGTTGGTTTGTTAGTTTTTTTCAAGTTGGAGTCTCACTCTTGTCGCCCAGGCTAGAGCGCAGTGGCATGCTCACGGCCACTGCAGCCTTGACTTACTGGGCTTAGGTGATCCTTCTGCCTCAGCCTTCCAAGTAGCTGGAACTACAGACACATGCCACCACGCCCCGCTAGTTTTTTTGACTTACTGTAGAGACGAGGTCCCACCAGGTTGCTCAGACTTGTCTTGAACCCCTGGGCTCAGGCAGTCCTCTTGCCTCAGCCTTCCAAAGTCCTGGGATTACAGGCTGAGCCACTGGACCCGGCCCCCAGACATTTTCAGTCAGAATTTGCAGTTTAGTGAAGTTCCCTTGACCAGGTGTGATGGCTCACACCTGTAATCCCAGCACTTTGGGAGGCAGAGGCAGGAGGATTGCCTGAGCCCAGGGGTTCGAGACCAGCCTGGACAACTTGGTGAGACTTCGTCTCTACTATAAATTAAGAAAAAGTACCTGAGCACTGTGGCGCATGTCTGTAGTTCAAGCTACTTTTTAAAAGGCTGAGGCAGAAAGATTGCCTGAGCCCAGCAGGTCGAGGCTGCTGTGACCATGAGCGTACCACTGCACTCCAGCCTGGGTGATAGAAACTCTAACTCAAAAATAAATAAATAAAAATAAATAAAGTTCCCAAGTGATTTATTTATTTGCACATTAAAGATCAAGGGAGCAATGCTTTGAGCCAGTAGTCGTCAGTGGTGACTAGCCATTAGAATTACATTTTTACTTGGGGAATTTTAAAAAGTCTGATACCCAGTCTTTCTCTCCCAGAAAGATTCTGAGGTAAGCCTGAGTATTGATGTTTTTAAACAAGAGATTCCACCAAGGCTGAGAAGCACTGCGCTAGCCCAGTTGCAGTGTTGCTTTTGCTGTCCCTGGGGTAAGAACTCCATAGATTCTTAAAAGTAGGACAACAAGGAGAAGAGAGATTTTTTTTTTTGAGTTGGAGTCTCACTCAGTCACCCAGACTGGAGTGCAGTGGCCGCTCCTGACCACCGCATTCTCGACCTGCAGGGCCCCAGTGATCTTTCCGCCTCAGCCTTCCAAGTAGCTACCACGCCCGGCTAATTTTTTTGATATATTGTAGAGATGAGGTCTCGCCACGTTACCCAGGTGGGTCTTGAACCCGTGGGCTCAGGCAGTTCACTCACCTCGGCCTCCCAAAGCACGGGATTACAGGCTGAGCCACTGAGCCCGGTCGAGATTTTTTTAAAAATTAAACTAGCTATAAGTAACATTTTTCTGGCAGTTTTTCAGAAGGACCTAATGCAAAACAGTATTGACACATTTTGATTGTTTCTCTCTCATAGGCTCAAACTGTCCAGGTTGCTGAAGTTGAATCGCAGTCACAGCCACAGCCTTCTCCAGAACTTCTGCTTCCAAATTCTTTGAAGCCAGAAGAAGGACTTGAAGTATGGAAAAACTGGGCCCAGACCAAGAACGCTGAACTAGAAAAGGATGCTCAGAACAGATTGGCACCCATTGGGAGTGAGTGTTTGGGAAGGAAAATGGGCTCTGTGTAAAATGCATTGGTTGCCGTAGCAACAGAAGGACTGAATGGCAGGAAAATGGTGTCTCCTGGATCTAGGGACTAGAGAGCAGCATATCACATAGTATGTTGAATTCATTACTAGCAACAAGCAGGTCTGATCCTGTGCAAAATGAGCAGGACTTGTGGGTTTTGCCCAAGACCAGACATTTTTGGACATTTTATGGAGTTGATCTAGCAGGCCTGGGCAGAGTGGCTTCTGGGAGGAAATAGGAACCAGTGAATGTGCTCTCAGTGCCCTTCTTCCTGGGCATTAGGCTCATATGCTTGCTTATGTAACAGAGGGTAGATTATGCTTTTTTCTGCTTTTATTTCTTGGTCCTTATAATAATTTTAGAGATATGTGTGGTGGGAAGATTATGGAACGGAAGCCTTTGGTATAATGGAGCATGTATGATTACTACCTTAATAGGCCAATTGTAAACATTGATACAAGTGACCTTTTTCTCCTCTCTCTTTTCTTTCTTTCTTTTTTTTTTTTTGAGTTGGAGTCTTACTCTGTCACTCAGACTGGAGTGCAGTGGCCATTCTCGGCCACTGCAGTCTCGACCTACTGGGCTCCGGTGATCCTTCCACCTCAGCCTTCCAAGTAGCTGGAACTATAGACACATGCTACCATGCCCGGCTAGTTTTTGTGATTTATTGTAGAGATGAGGTCTCACCAAGTTGCCTAGGCTGGTCTCGAACCCCTGGGCTCAGGCAATCCTCTAATCTCAGCCTCTCAAAATGCTGGGATTACAGACTGAGCCCCCACGCCCAGCCGAATTTTTAGAATTTTTTGTAGAGACAGGGTCTTACTGTGTTTCCCAATCTGGTCTCAAACTCCTAGACCATTTCTATTCTAGCATCCTGATGGACAGTGTCTACTGTGAGCCTTCCTTTCAGGAGAATCGGCAGCCATTAAAGAGACGACAATTGCCAGAGCTTTCATTCACTTTGGGCTTCTGTTGCAGGGCGCCAACTGCTGCGATTCCAGGAAGATCTCATTTCCTCTGCTGTGGCTGAGTTGAATTATGGTCTCTGTTTAATGACACGGGAAGCTCGAAATGGAGAAGGTGAACCTTATGATCCAGATGTGCTCTACTATATTTTCCTGTGTATTCAAAAGGTAGGAAACAGATCTCCACAGGAATATATTTGAACTATGTTCTCATTGGATGTTTCCTGGTTAAGTTATTAAAATGATAAAAAAGAGATTAGAATAAGGAAGTTATTTTTCAGCTGCATAGAGGACTTTTTTTTTTTTTTGCTTTTGTTTTTTGAGTTGGGTCTCATTCTGTTGCCCAGGCTGGCATGATGTGGCATGATCACGGTTCATGGCAGCCTCAATCTCCTGGGCTCAGGTGGTCCCTCCACCTCAGCATCCTGAGTAGCTGAAACTACAAGTATGTAGCGGCACTCCTGGCTAATTTTTTGAATTTTTGTATACACAAGGTTTTACTGTGTTGCCCAAGCTGGCCTCAAACTCCTGGTCTCAAGCAGTCCACCCATCTCAGCCTCCCAAAGTGCTGGGATTACAGGCATGAGCCACCATGCCCAGCCAAGTTTTAAAATTCGCCTCCCTCCCCCTTTTTTTTTAAAGTCAGGGTCTCGCTCTGTCACCCAAGCTGGACTGCCGTGCAGTGGCATGGATCACAGCAGCTTCAACCTCCTGGGTGATACTTCCACCTCTGCCTCCTGAGTAGTAGGGACTACAGGTACATGCCACTATGCACAGTTAATTAAAAAAAATTTTTTTTGTAGAGATGTGGTGAAGCATAACAGAAACTTGTAGACTGGCAGTTTGGGAGAGCATAGGTGGATTTCTTAGTGTTTCAAGACTCTTGAGGAGTAACCCATAGTATGATAGATCAGGACTTGATAATTGAGACTTACTCTTGTCTGATTCTTAGAAGTCTGCTTCCTAATTTGTTCTCTTTTATGCCGGCTGTAATGTAGCCATATGAATTGCTTTAACATGCTCTGTCTCATCTCATGCTCTTCCCAGTCCTGGAAAACAGAAAACAATCGTCTTTATTCACAGACCAGGAAACTGAACCCCAGAAGTTAAAAGACCTGCATGTATTATTTAAATTACACAACATCTAATGAAAGGCTGATCCAAGAGGCTATTCATGATTTTTGCTACCACAAGACATTGCCTAGGTGGAATAGCATTTATAACATCTATCTTATTGACACAACTATGAAGAATGTTATGAGAATCAGTTTGCATGATCCAAAGCATATTATGGAAATGTCACATGCTGGAGAGTTTTGATCTGGTGCCTTGGTTTGTTGACCAGAGGATGGGTAGGGAAAGGTGGTAGTACTGGTAGAAAAATACATTTGTTTCCCCTGAAAGCCTTGCTTAGGAGACCACCGGTAACTTATATTGTTTTTCTTTCAGTATCTTTTCGAAAACGGAAGAGTTGATGACATATTTTCTGATCTTTATTATGTTCGGTTCACGGAGTGGCTACATGAAGTTCTGAAGGATGTTCAGCCCCGGGTTACTCCACTTGGTAAGAACCTCTGTTGTCTTTGGATTTCTTTCTCACTTGGATTTCCAAAAGATTGACAGTTTCTGGGATTATTGTTGTTTTTTAAGACTTTATTTTTTAGAGAAATTTTAAGTTTCCAAAAATATTTATCAGGAAATACAGGAAATTCCCATATATCTCCTCACATACAGTTTCATCTATCATTGACATGTTGCATTCATGTAACACATTTGTTACAATTGATGACCTAATATTGATACATTATTAACTATAGTTCATAGTGTACATTAGGGTTCACTCATTGTGTTGTACTTTTTATGGGTTTTGATAAATGCATGATGACATATATCTTCATTATGCTGTCATACAGAATGTTTCATTGCCCTGAAAATCTTGTTCCCCACCTATTTATCTGTCCTTCCCTTCTTCCCCCTGACTCTCTGACAGCCACTGATCTTTTTATTGTCTCCATAGTTTTGGCTTTTCCAGAATGTCATATAGTTGGAATAACTTGGTATGTAGCCTTTTCAGATTGTCTTCCTTTACTTAGCAGTATGCATTTAAGGTTCCTCTGTGTCTTTTTCTTGGCTTCATCATTTTTTTTTAATCACTGAATTATATTCCATTGTTTGGTTATACCACGGTTTTTTAATCCATTCATCTATCAAAGGACTTATTATCTTGGTTGCCTCCAAGTTATGAATGAAGCAGCTACAAACATTTGTGTACAGGTTTTTGGCAAAAGAATAGATGAACAAATCAATGTAACAGGATAGAGAACTCAGAAATAGAGGCAAACAAATATATTTAGTGAAGAAAGGATAATCTTTTCAACAGGAGGTGCTGGCACAAGTGGACATTCACATACAAAAAAATGAATCTAGATACAGACTTGACACCTTCCACAAAAATAACTGAAAATGGATCTAACATACAAACCATAAAACTCTTAGACGATAACAAGAGAAAATCTAAGTGACCTTAGGTTTAGTGATGATTTTTAAGATGCATCACAAAAAGTGTAATCTATGAAATAAAAGATTGGTAAGTTGAACTCCCTAATGGTGTTGAGAAGAGAGTAAACTTAGGGAAATACAGCAGAGTGGGTAGGTGGCAGAGTTATCCCAGAGAAGTAGAGCATGCCAGAGTGTGCCTGGAATTGCTGTTAGGAGATGGACATTCCTAAAGAGGACTGTCTTCTGCTTATCCTACGTCTTGGGAATTTCAGGTATGTCTGAGCAGGAAATATTTTCCCATTGTCACTGAGCCACAAATAGCCTAAGGTAGAGAAAAACAGAGCCATAAATGCCTTGAAGAGATGAAAGTGGCCTGGGCCCAGGGGTTTGAGATCAGCCTGGGCAACTTGGTGAGACCTTGTCTCTAACACATCAAAGAATTAGCCAGGCGTGGTGGTACACACCTGTAGTTCCAGTTACTTGGAAGGCTGACGTGGAAGGATCGCCAGAACCCTGCAGGTCGACACTGTGGTAGCCATGAGCATGCCACTGCACTCCAGCTTGGGCAACAGATTGAGACTCTGACTCAAAAGGAAAAAAAAAAAGAGATGAAAGTGCATTAGTGTAGTTAGGTGGTCAGCGTTGCCAAGAACTGACAAAAAGAGAGTATTGGGCGGAATGTTCCTTCTTCTATTTCCAGGAAATAAGCACCCCCACTGCCTGCCTGGAGAATCCTGAAACTCTACAGGAGAATATTGGTGTCTGCTGCTGTCTCACCATACCCCCAGTATATAAACACTTTCACATTGACTGAATTGAGTACATGAAGGATGCTTGGTATCAAACCAAGTGTCATCTTCTTTTGGTGTAGACCTGACCAGGGTTCTTATTCAAACAAGTGACAATTACCCCTGCCTAGCTCTCGGTTTATTTATGAACCAGGGTTTTACAATAACACCTGCTGTGGGTGGAAACGTGTAATAGTTCACATATTGGCCGGGTACACCTGTAATCCCAGCTACTCAGAAGGCAGAGGGAAGAGAATCACATGAGGCCAGAAGTTCAAGTCCGTCCTGGGCAACGTGAGACCTCATCTCTAAAAATAAATTTTATGAAGTTAGGTAGGGCCAGGCTGAGTGGCTTAGCCTGTAACCCTGCGCTTTGGGAGGCTGAGGTTAGTGGATTGCCTGAGCCCGCGGGTTCAAGACCCACCTGGGCAACTTGGTGAGAACTCTTCTCTACAATAAATCAAAAAATTAGCCGGGTGGGGTAGCGTGCGCCTGTAGTTCCAGCTACTTGGAAGGCTGAGGTAGAAGGATCACCGGAGCCCAGCAGGTCGAGGCTGTGGTGGCTGGGAGTGGCCACTACACTCTAGTCTGGGCGACAGAGTGAGACTTCAACTCAAAAAAAGAAAAAAAGGAATAAAAAAGAAGAAGAAGTTAGGTAGGTGTGGGCAACCCCCTTGGGCCCCCTCCCACTGTGGAAACTTTTCTGTTATCTCAATAAATCTTGTTTATTACCTGAGCCTGTGGGTTCGAGACCCGCCTGGACTTCTTGGTGAGACCTCATCTCTACAATAAAATAAGAAATTAGCTAGGCATGGTAGCGCGTGCCTGTAGTTCCAGCTACTTGGAAGGCTGAGGCGGAAGGATCGCCGGAGCCCAGCAGGTCGAGGCTGCGGTGGCCAGGAGCGGCCACTGCACTCCAGTCTGGGTGACAGAGTGAGACTCCAACTCAAAAAAACTAAATAAATAAAAATAAACAAATAAATCCTGCTTTCTCACTTAAAAAAAAAAAAAGTTAGCTATGTGTGGTGGCACATGCTTGTACTCCCAGCTACTTGGGAGGCTAAGGTAGGAGGATCACTTGAGCCCAGAAACTCGAGGCTACAGTGAGCTATGATCATGCCACTGCACTCTACACTAAGTGACACAGTGAGATCTCATCTCTTAAAAAACACACACACAAATAACAGTCTTCCCTTTATCCAGAGAAGAGATGAGAATGGGCTTGCTTTCTGGAACTGGTAGACTTGAAAGAAGGTTTGATAAAGGCACACAGAGGCATGCATACCAGTTCTTTGGCCTCTGGACACCTTTGAAAGTATGATGCAGGCTCTGTGCCCTCTCAGAGAAGTATGCGTATATACAGAGTTTGGTTTATAGTTTTTAGGTATTTCATTCTCCTTAAGGGTAGTCATTTAGCCCTGTATTAGTCTTGAATTAGAGGAAGACTTTGTTAAGTAACAACAATCATATGATACAGTGGTTCTCAAAGTGCAGAGCAGCAGCTACAGCATTACCTTGGAATTTGTTAGAAATGCTCATTATCAGCTGGGCTCGGTGGCTCAGCCTGTAATCCCGCGCCTTTGGGAGGCTGAGGTGAGTGGATTGCCTGAGCCCGCGGGTTCGAGATCCACCTGGGCAACTTGGCGAGACCTCATCTCTACAATAAAATAAAAAATTAGCTGGGTGTTGTAGCGCACGCCTGTAGTTCCAGCTACTTGGAAGGCTGAGGCGGAAGGATTGCTAGAGCCCAGCAGGTCTAGGCTGCGGTGGCCAGGAGCGGCCACTGCACTTCAGTCTGGGTGACAGAATGAGACTCCA